GAAATCTCCTCCTTTCGTCAGCATTGTTACGGGAAATCAGCGTGCATTTTTCACGAGTCGGCGGACAATAGGAAGGGAATGCCGGAGCATCCGACGTTGGTTTCCCATTGTGATTTTTCCGTCCGCCCGTTTCTTTCGCGAGACTGTCCATTTGTTCGCGGGATCGAAGTTTGCGGCGGCTGTTTCGCGCACGGCCATCCGCGGCGGCCGTCCGAAACGCTACAGGTATCCCCGGCGTTCTCTGATAAATGGAAAGTCGACCGGCCGCTACACACACAAAGCCATAAATCTAAACGTCGTGTGTATGGACGAGATCCTCGAATAAAGCTCTCCGTGATTCCGCGGGTTATCTTATCCGCGATGTCGATACGCGAACGATGAACACTCCGGAAAAGTTTCTTGTGTGATTCGGTTTCTCGATAAAAAAAGAGAGAAACTTAAATATCCCTCCCTCCCTTTTTCTCCCCACGAAGCAATCCGAGAAAACCACACATTCAGTGAACGTGACGCGATACGTGTTTATATATTATATAGCTTTATAATAAAATAGCCGGTGCGTGAGAGAGAGAGACAGAAAACGCGCGGCAGTCAATCATGCGCGCAGACTCCGCCGCTGCTGGATTCTCTGCTCGTAGAACTAAGGATATATAGGAAATCCAACCGAAATGGATCTGAGTCATCGAGGCGTGCCTTCGAACACGGCGCAAGGATCACGGCCGAGATCAATCTGTAAATTCGCTCGCATCCTCTCTGTTGCGTTTTGCTATATCCGCATATACCGTTATCTTCGTAGAATATTCAACTTTCCAATGTATTCAAGCGAGATATTTGCGAGATACATCTCGTGAGAAAAATTATTATTGCAAATGTTCACGCAATATCTACGTGTCTGTGCGTCGACTTTAATTTAATTTCGAATTGAGAAGAGCGACGGGTAACATGTATCTTACGTCACATAGTTTTACGGCGCGGAGCAAGTGAAACTTTATAAAAATGTTAATACCGATATTAGAATAATTTTGTCGACTACCTGTCGTCATAAATTTTACCGCCGTGCGTCATTAAAGTATAGCACAAACAAGCCAAAAACGTTACAAGACAAAAACTTCGGTTGAGCTCCCAAAGGATCGCTCGGTAGGTCCGCCTTGTTATAATCTTTCGATTCATCTGGCTCGACGACAAGTCTCCCACGAGGAACAAACAGTCTCTCTCTCTCTCTCTTTCGGAATCCGTAAACAGGCGGCATTTTTTTCTTTCTACAAAATCGAAGGAAGAGACGGAGGTCTCGTGATTTCACGAGCGTGTGTCGGCCCTCGCCCACGCTTTTACAAACGGCGCTCGGTCTCGAAAACGAATCTTCTCTCTTTTCCCGAGAAACGCTCTTTACAGATAATTAACTGACATTAATGTTCTATTCGCCGGGCGTGGTTACGTTCGCGCACGGCTCGTATTTCTCCGCGCCGTATATACGTGTGTTTTTTTTGTTTTCTTTTACGACTGATAAGAATCGCTTTTCCAGCGTGATATTCCCATTGCTCTCGCTCGCTCTCTCTCCCGTCTATCCCATCTCCAACGTCATCCCGGGACACAACGACTCCGCGCCGACAGAGCGGATTACTAAATTCATTGGCTTCGTTTTGTACGGAGGACTTCGCCTGTACGTCGCCGAGATCGTTTCTCCTTGGCTTCCGCACAATTAAGGTCAACTCGAGGATTTGTCAGGAGCGATTTCTTTCCTGAAGCTCTCGCAACATGAAAAGATCAAATAATATATATTTTATGAAACTTCCGGTTTTTGTTTTTTTTTTTTATTCGATAACATGTATGTTAACTTTTATTGCGCGAAACTATACTGGATTTTAATATCAGGATCGCTACAACTTACCATTCGAGATCTTTTAATTCACATTCAAGTCGCGCGCATCTCGATCAGGGAAACACACTGTCCTGATATATAATTATAGATAATAATCTTCCGCGCGCGTGTAAATCTCATTTTATATACACGCGCGCGTGTAGTCTCAGTAGTTTGTAATATCAAATTAATTACGGTTGAAACTGTCGAACGTATAGGAGAAACTCCTAATCACGGGACTACACTTGTGCATGTGTGTTGGAAATGAAATTAATGATCGCTTGGTAATACACGACACGCCCGTCGTATACATATACAAACGCGATGGCGCGACTCGATACTTTCTGTATCGGTGTGGGCACTTAGAAATAAATGAAACGAGATTTAAGAGTCACATAAATTACAACAAATCACGCATATAGACGCGGAGAGGCTCGCGCGAATGGCGAGGCGACGCGTGTGGCGCGCGTTTCTGCCGATCGGAAATCCGTAAGCGCGCGCGCGATACCGCCAATAAAATATGCATGTACACTCGCAGCTTCGTGTATAGGTGCGACATCCCACGTGGCGGCGGTACCCCGATACACGGACGTCTCTCTCTCGCGTGTATTAATCTGCATAAACTCATTCCTATGCAAACGAAGAGATTCGACGTTGAACTAGGATATCAGGGGAAGCCTCCGCGGCTTACATCGCGGCTTAAACGAGCTCCTATATGCGTGCAAGGGCACGCCGCGTCGCGCGCGCACAAGCCGTCCTTTCCTCTCCCCCTTCTATCCTCCCCCCGGCTGGGTACTGCGATTGTTAAAACACGTACACGCATATGTGTACACGTGTAAAACGATATCCGATGTATATACATGTGTATATCTGGCGTAAACGATACCGATCGCGTAAACGGCAAATCTCCGCCGTCGCGTCGACGGCATAATAATTGCAAAATCCTCGTTTCTCGCCTTCGCTAGAACGTCGGCGACGCCGGTCCAAAAGAACGACGACGACGAGAAAATGGCACCTGCTCGAAACGATCGCGCGCGCGATAATCTGTCCCCCCCTCCCCTTCGTAGTCGTCCGCGCGAAGATGAAAAGAAAACAATCGATGAATAATTTCGCGGCCGTCCCGTGGCGCTTACCGCACTCTGCGGGGGAATTGATTTCGACGGAGACTATCGCGGACGGCGGCGTGCTAAGTCTCTCATGAATACAATGAGGAGGTAAAGCTTTTATGGCAGCTCGACGTATAAACAATACTGTTTTCCGATAATTTCTAATTTAACACTTAGCGCTTTGGGGGAGATTAAATGTTTACGCGAGAAACGCAGCATTTCGGCGAAGTAACGACGCGACGTTTCGCTTTTAATATAAACGAAGCTTATTGCGCGCGCGCGTTCAATTAAACGTCCCCGCAATGATTGTTTATTAAGAAGAACTTTATTGCGTGTGTCATATATATATGTACATACACGTAAACATACTTTTTATTTATCACATTTCCACTTCAAAGATTTTTATTGTTTATTGCATCTCCGAGACATAATGCATAATGAGAGAACAAAAAAAGACTTATTTACTTAATATCAAGCGCAAAATTATCTCGGCATAATTTAATTATTCCTTTCATAGCAGTAAGATAATTTTCACACGCGCAAAAAACTATCCGACTCGTTCGCCTCATAAATATTCGATCGTTCGATTATGGAAAATAAACTCACACCGACACGATCGTCACTGATACATTCTCCTCGGAAGTCAGCGAGCGTAATATATCATGCCGCACGTCGCTTCGGAGTCAAATAAGACCTACAATAAGCGCCCTTACGATCAAGCAGCTGTGAAGGATTTTGCAAGCGGAAAGGAGACGCGCGCGCGCGCGCGCGTGTGTGATGCTCCTACCGGTTTCTTCTCTACGACTGAAGAAGACGAGAGATTGAAAGAAAGAAAGAGAGAGAGAGAGACGCACAACGCGACGCACGCCGCGTCGTGGAACAGATTTTACACCGTCGTCGCGACTATAAGCTATGTGCGCGGCATGTATATTTAATGCGGAGCACGCGAGGCCTACGACCGGGAGCGCGACTTCTTCTTACCGCCGTTCTCGCCATTACTTATTCACCGTCGGCGCAATTACCAAGCGGATACTCCATCAAAGTCGGGACACCTTTCTCGCACCGGCGGCATCGAGATGTTGTACTCGCTCGTATACATGTCGTCTGACGTGTATACCGAGAGAGTTTGCGCAAAGTGGGAGAAAATCATTATCGACTCGATATAGGCTCGTGTAAACCAGTAAACGAGATGCTTGCGCGACTCTCGACCGCTTCTTCATGTCACTTCGCTCAAGTTTGATCGCACGCGCACGCGCGCGCGCGCGCGAAATTTGCTCGTCGTTGCGATCATCGCGCATCGACACACGGGTTAAGAAGCTCTCTTGACTCTCCTATGTTATAGGATATCTTTATACGTTAAGATATCTTTATGTGAGGCACGCGTCGCATTCTCGTGTCACTCTCTTCTTAGAAGGTGCTTGACGTGTGTCGACGCAGGAAGCTTAGAGCTGTGTGTCCTCTACGGTTCCGAAGGAAGGAAATGCTCCCACGTGCTCTGCATAATCGAACAGAAAACTCGAACGAGCTGTTATAGACAGATCGACGTGCGGACATAATGTGGTTCGTGAGATTTTCTGCGAAAAACTTTTAACTTGAAGCTGTTCCAAATGGAAGATAAATATGTTCGAAATTTTTTAACTTGAGATTGTTTTGCACTTTCTGTGCAAAAAAAAAACAATTACGCATATCGCAAAATAGTTGTAGTTTTTCCAAGTGAAACTTTTCGCGAAAATATCTTTACAACATCACTTATTCGCGCAATGTATTTTTGCGAACTATATCAGTTTTTCATATATGTATGTATTTACACAAAAAAAAAAATACACCAGTGTTCCTCGACCTCATTAACATTCAGCATGACATTCTATTCCGACAACTGCGCGCATCATTTCTCCGTCAAGGCGGACTCATTCTCTCTCTCTTTCAGGAAGGGAGACAGTTCAACGAAACGACCGACCCGCTTTGTTCCGCCTTTCTTCCCACCTCGAGAGAATCGTCGAGGAGTGTGACATAACGATTGCACACTTTTTTTGTTTCAGGTTGACGAGGCAGAAATGGCACAGCGGGAGTCTCGGTGAGGAAAGGGCGAGGGTGAAGCCCTCGCAGGAAAAGGGAGCTATGGTGAAAAGCTTGGGTTTCCTCGCCAGAAGGGCGCCACCTGCCGTCCACCACCTTTTCATCGTTTTGCTCGCGCTCGCCCCCGCTTACCACGGCGTGGACCTCTGTAAGTAGCTCCTAAGCTCTAATCCGCTGGTCTTATACGCTCCCTGTGTGTAGCCGTCTCTTCGTGAAACTTCGTGGCTATAGCTCCTTGGCCCGTCGTCGCGCACAGGTTGTTTCCTTTATAAGTTATTAACGACGCGCGCGGAGGTTTCCCCACCGCTACGGGGAACTTATGCCGCCACAGTCGACGAACTTTCGATCCGAGAGATCGGCTTTGACCGTGGTCATTAGGTATCTTATGTATCTGAAGACGTCGCGTCTTATCATTCGCGTTTCGCGCGCGCGCCTTCATTTAACAAGGTCTCGTGGGTTCTTTGAGTGGGCGGAGTTCGAATATCTTCCGATGATGTAAGGAAGCATGTATTAATAAAGAACTTAGAGTCACGAGATACAATATTTTAGTATCTCAAATGTGCGGATAGATTCTCAATGGATAACGGATAATAAATATAAAGAATTTTAATTAAGTTTAACGCGTGTATTGTTACGCGCGTTCTTTTTTTATCAAGAAAGATTAACTAGAAACTAGAATTATAATATCGAAGTAATAAATTTTGGTGTTGCGAGCATTTCTTACTAATTAACATCGTAATCAGCTTAAATGCCGCGTTATGTTTGCTTGTAATAAAGAAAACAGATTTATAAATCACAGAGATTACCGCGCAAAGAAAATTCCCACTTTTCACGACCGTACGGCGCGCTCCATTTTATCGTATTAATAATAAGTAATCGTCTTGTTCCGAAGCCCTGTTTGCGCGCGCGAAGCAGCTTAATAGAAATAGATTTCCGGACATAGAAGAAAAATTGCATCGTAGCTGCTGATAATGGAACGCTTAATAATTGCGCCCTCTCACGCGCTCTTCCAAACAACATCCTCAGCGATTTCCTTTCCCGTTGCCCCGTAATTTATCCTAGCGTCAATAGCCGGGAAGTAATCGACGGTGTTTTTCTCGAGTGGAATTCTGCTAACGGCAGACGACTTTTAGCGAACGTCCTCCTCCTCCTCCGAGGAGGAGGAGGAGCTCATACGAGGCCGTCTTATCTGCCGTCAGACGTTCCCCCGGAAATTATAACGGAAAAAGACCGGCTCTTCTCTTCTCTCGTCCCGAGACGTGAGAAGGGTGTCGCAATTTAGGAAACCCTTACTCGCCGCCAATCGATTTACGAGTCCGATATCACACATCGGCTCGTTAGGCCGGACGCGCCGACAAAGGAAACGGATTCTGCCGCGAAACGGTCTAACTTTATCGAGGGTGGGTGCGAGAATTCCGGCGGGGGGGGGGGGTTAGGTGCGATATGCGCGATACATATTGGCCGGACCTTCATTAATAATAATAACCACTTGCTCTCGTGTTGGCTCCCGCCAAAGAGCCGCTAAATCGGCATTTCCTCTCCCTTTGTTGGCACGACTTTCCTACTATTGATTCTCGGATCGCACACCCTCTTCTCGCAGAACTCCTACTGGAAATCGAGAACATATTTTAGCGACGAGATTGCGATGTATCGCAGGGGAGCTGACCTTCATTAATAATAATAATAATACGAAGCTACTCCACACCGGCCTGCCGCGACGAACTCTCTCGAACTTGCTCTTCGCGTTTCTCTCTCGCTCAAACCGCGAAAGGACACGAGTTTCTTGCTATTCGATAACCGGCGCGGAATTCGAAGACATATATTAGCGTCGCGGACATCGCGATACATCGGAGGGAGAGAGCAGCCTTCATTAATAATAACGACCGGTTCTTCCCCCGCCGCGCGATCGGCGGCGTTTCCTCTCTTTGTCGACTCCGACTTTCCCCTGCCATTGATTCTAATCGGCTTCGGTGCGCACTCCGAGGAAGTCGGACATACATACATATATTAAAGCACCGGAATCACGATGTAACGAGCGGAGCGCTGTTAATAATAGCGGCGATTAATCCGGTCTCGGCCGCTTTGCCGGTTCCCGGCGCGATGTGCGCCGCGCGCACCGTTTGTAGTAGGATAGGCGTACAACTTTCCGTTCGCTGATTACGATCGATTCTATATTGCCGCGCCGCTTAAGATTCGCGATGTTCAAAATTGCAACGCGCACATTAGCGGTCCGCGTATCGACGTATCTTCCGATTCGTTTCCGTTATCGCGTTTCCGATAATCGCATCTCTTTAACGAAGGGATTTATGTTCAATGAAGAATGATAAAAGCTCGCGCGCGCGCGAGAGAGAGAGAGAGAGAGAGAGACCGGTCTGTAAGGATGGAAACGATTGTGCAAACGCACAACCGTCGTCGTCGTCGTCGTCGTCGTCGTCGTCGTCGCCGCGCGAGAGTTGCGTGTCGTGCAAATTGCGAACATTATATTCTTAAGCCGCGCGTCGACGACCTCCCGCGACGGGGGAGACCCACACTTCGCAGAGATTCCATTCGGCAATAAAGTACGTTGGATTAAAACGTAAGACCAAAATACACATTTCACTCCGGTCGGCGCCGCCATCCGAAGCGCGGAATTACGCGCGGGGTTAGAAGAGGGAGGAATGGGGAGATACGGTATCGTCGGGGAAGAACACTGCAAACTTTCGTCCGGTATTAATGGCTACCTACATGTCCGTTCCGTTCCGCGCTGGCTTAGCGCGGATTCCTTCCGTTATGTTAACCCCTTCCTCCTCCTCCTCCTCATCCTCCTCCTCCTCCCGTAGTATAAAGCTTGCATCCTTCCTCTCGCTTCACTCTCTCTCTCTATCATTCCCCGTCCCTCGACCTCCTCCCCCCCGTCCCATCGCCCGGCGGCTCGCGCGTTCCGCACCTGCACTCGATATCCGGGCATTAGGCGTTATCGGTGTATACTACGTGTGTACCGTCGTCGGATCCGCCCAGACTACTTTAAATTTTAGCAGTTTCCGCGCCGCGCGTAATGGTATCATTACTTCGACCCGCGCGTAATGCCGTAATCGATGCCGCGCGCGCCGCGCGCATCATACACATGAGACTTCGCTCCGAGGCAGAACAAGGCAAGCTTTTACCGGATCCGGATTGTCGTGCGTGAATTAGTTACGCTTCGATGTGCGCCCCTTTGTCGAATTACAAGGATTCGACGCGTGTGCAGGCAGAGGCATTAGTATGCCTTTATACGTTAAGTTGCACTTTTCGTTGTTAAGATTATTATTGAGGCATTATTGGCGCAACTTCATGTGTAAAGCGCGCTCTTGTCTGTATAACGCGCGCGTCTATATACCCGCGTCTGTGAATTCAGAGCTAGAGGCTTTGACGCGCGATAGCAACAACGATCCGGCATCCGGTCCGCTGAAGTGTACGGCCAATGTATACGCTCGCGGCCGCCTGGGATGATTGCGTCCGTGCTCCGCGTATATTTCCAAGAGAGAGAGAGAGACAAAGGGCCGATAACGCGTGGGCGGTTTAATGGCGCTTGAAGAAGAAAAACACAAAAAAAAAAGAAACGACGCGAAATGTCGCGAGTCCTCGTCCCTAATGATCACCGCCGTGACACGGACACGTATATGAATGCGAACGTACATCATATATAACTTGGGTTTCGAACTTTATTGCACGACCGGATGGACCGCGGTAACGCCTCTCGAAAATGCTCGCGCCATGTAGAGATCGGAATAATGTATGCAAAGTAGACGGTATCGTCTCCTTCGATGGCCCTTAACCCTGTCATTGAGTACTCGATACTCTCCTCGAGCGTGGATACGCGGGGAGGAAGGTTGACCGATCGGTGACGCGCGCGCGCGGGAAGATTCTTTTTCGCGATATTAAATCTTTCGGGAAGATAAAGCGTTTTATGGTTCTCATTAATGAGCGCGCTTCGTCGACGAACGAGAATCTGTAAAAGTCGAGCGAGCGAACAACGACCGCGCCTAAAAAAACGTCGTCAATTTATTATGACCGGGACGTAAACTTCGCGTGCGCGCGTGTCTTTCACGAGTCTCGCGCGTCTTTCACATCTCGGTTTTTCCGTTATCGAAGTTATTTTTCGTCGTCGTCGTCGTCGTCGTCTTTAGAATGCGGTATAGAATGCGATCGGTATTGTACACAACAACGCAATAAATACTCAACTTGCGGCTATCTCGTGCAGGAAGATATCTCGTTCCTTGCGTTGCAGTCGGCAGTGGCGAGCAGATCCTCGCAAGGCAGCTGTGTTCACCTATGAAACAATTAGATCGGTCCATAAGATACGGAAACGTTGAGGCGACCTCTCTTCCTCTCCCTCTCTCTCTCTCTGCTGCTGCTTCCTCCGCCGTGCAGGTACCGCCCGACCCTCAAACCGTAACTTCCACCCGCACGACAGGCAGCCGTACACGAGAGAGCGTAAAGCGGCTATCGCGCAGATCCATCTCGGTTAGCTGGTTATTTAGCCGTTTATGATCCGGCCGTGATGCACGCCGGTGCGCTATATAGGGAAAGAGAGAGAGGCGGTATATAAATTCACAAACCTCGCTTTAACCTCGGCGACGCCACGTTCGTTTGTTGCAGCCCAATGCATCGCGCCGCTCGGCATGGAGTCCGGGGCGATCCCGGACGCGGATATCAACGCCAGTTCCACCTTCGACGCCGGAAACGTCGGTCCCCACCTGGCACGGTAAGCGACAGTTTTTCATTTCGGATAGTCTGGCCTGACCGCCATCGATCACTCGTATCTACCGGCGCCTTCTGTTGCACCCGATGCGCGGCCGATTGACCCGACGTAACGCGGCCGATATCGCAAAACGACCTGCGTGTAAGCGTTCGCAACGAAAGAAAAAAAAAGTTTTTTTGATCCCGACGTCTTTTGCACACACGAGCAAAAATCGAGCTTGTGTGAAAGCGACAAAATAAAAATTATAAAAAATTCATCATAAAAAAAAAACTATAGCAAATTATTATGCTCTCGCGCGGTGTATCATTTTTATTATCACAAAATTACGCGTTTGAGCCACGCCACTTTCCGCTTTTTTGATTTTTTTTGATTTTTTTTTTTTTTTTTTAGGAACGTTGTCAAAGAAAACCACAGGAGTTTTGTGTGAGAGTGAAACACACCGCTTCGGCGAAAGAGTTAATTGTGACGCCTTCGCGCGCATGAATACTAAAAGACCGCCCGGCTGCGCTCGTTAATACGTAAAATCCGGAATATCAGGTTTGTAAGTCTATGGCGAAAGACGTTATTACGCGCGAACAAAGAGAGCAAACCGGTCGCGAACGTAATTATTTCTAATCTAAACCGAGGCGCAGCTTTGGCACCGCTTATGCGCGCGAAGACCGGCTAACGGAGATTAGTCGACGTCTCTTATCGCTTGGGTGTAGTGGAATAAAAAAAAAAAAAAAAAAGTCCCCGCCGAGACGACGGGGCGAGAGAAAGCTTACGAAGCATAATTATAAATTAACGCCTATCCCCGCGAAAATAAATTCTCCCGGCAACAACGTATAATTAAGTAATCCGCGTATCTTTCGATCCGATAGCCGATCGTTTCTCGTTTGGCACTTGTTCGCGCGAAATGAATATTTATAGAGTTGTGTTTTTTAAAACGATCGTTTCTCTCCCCCGAGCGCTGGTTTGTTCTTTGGTTTAAAAGCAAATTTATTTTTAATTGCGGCCGACAAAAAATTATTCATCGCGAATTTATGGCCGATCGGGGATTTACATACTGCCGCATAACGTGCGTTCTGTTCTGCGTTAATAATTTCTACGTCATTATTCGACGCTGTCTCTTAATCGTGCTATTTGCGCTCGTAATTATTCATAGTAATGATAACATTAATAGATACTTAAAACCTTCCGTTTTATACGTGTCCCCCGGAAATTAATATACTAAAACGAGCTTAATTACGAATACATGTTTAACGTAACTTTTTGCTTTATACTGAATTAATAAACGATTAAGTACGACGCTAGAATTAATTTCATTCCAAATTAATTTCCACCTGCGAGCGTCGCGCTGCTGCTGGTGCTGCTGCATTTTGCTCTCACTCTATTCCATCCGCGTTCGTGTATCCATTTCGCCTGGCAAACATTTGCGAAATGGCTGGTAACGCAAAACACAGATCGCCTTCAGCAGACACGGGCTTCATAGGAACAGCATACCCTCTCGTCCTCTCTAACGCAATTATCACAAAAGGACCTTTGACGTATCATACCTGAACTAAAAAGAGCATTACACCTGACCAGTGGCAAAAGGGTTGGCCATGTAACGCCTCTGGTAGCCGCCGGTGCAACGCATGAATACGAGATGCAACTGGCAGAGTAGTACGTGCGCCAATCATCTCTCTCTCTCTCTCTCTCTCTTTCTCTCTCTCTCTCTCTCTCGCTCCGCGCTCCCTCTCTTTCTCTCTCTCTGTCTCTGCCTCTCTCGCGCACGCGTTTAGATATTAATGCGTGGGGCCCCGGTATTCGCCGGCGGTTTGCAGTGTAGCGGCGGTTTATACGAATATTCCATCCCACGGGACGTATCCCAGTCCAGACCAGGCCGCGGTTGTAGAACCAAACGGGTGTGCGCGCGGCAGCACACCAAGGCCGGGGAGTATACATGGAGCGTTAGTCGACGGCCCCGCGGGCTCTCCGATATTAATACATTCCATTACCGCAGACAATGACCGGCTGAATGGGCCTCCGAGTCTTGATGAGCTCTCCGCTTGCGCGCCCCCATATCGCGCGAGCGCCCGAGATCCTCCTCCGCGCACGTCACCATCTAATTTAATACAGGGCGGCCTGAGGCGCGCGCGAGATGCTGCGGACGTTTACAGCCGCGCTCACGCGCGCGCGCGCGCACTTTCTCTCTTCTCTTGTGTTGTTCAAACGTGAGAAAAAGAAAGAAAGAGAGAATTGCCCCGCCATTTTCTTCAGAATTTTGCGTGATGATAGGCCGACGAAACGTTGCGCGCCCCTCCGATGCGAATTACCGCGGTTACGGCACATTTTTCTTTCTCGCGCACCGCGGGCGTCGAGAGCGCGTTTCAAAAAAAAAAAAAAAAAAAAAAATTCTAGGAAGGAGAAAGAAACAAAAAAAAGAATATATACGAAGCCAGCGCTCTTTCCCGGACTCTTGTTATACTGAAAACGTCCGCCGTTGCGAATTAAAACAACCGGGAGATGTGCGCTTTACACGAGAAAAATCTTCTAGCGACTGAAAATACTCGGAATATATAGAATAAGTGGTTCGTAACTTGAACAGTTACATGAATGTTAATGCAGAGAGCTCCCCTTGTTTGTAAGCAGATATAATGTACGAAAAGATATGTTTATGTTACTGTGCAAATACACGTTTTTTCATCTTTCGGCGACACAGTGGTGATTTTTTTAGACAGCTGGAAAAAAGAAAAAAAAACCGTATAAAATACGATAAAACAATTTCGTAAAATTTTCAATCGAACACATCTGAGCTACGTACAGAGCGTCGTAAGCCGCAATAAATCACCCGCGAATGGAAAAGTAAACAGTTTTACGCCAGGCGCGTATAACGCGAGATGGCTAATGGAGCGCGTCTTTTTCAATTATCGAGTGAAAAATTTTTGACGTGCAATTGGCGCGCGAGAAAAAAAAGAAAGCAAAAAAAAAAAAAAAAAAGAAAGAAACGCTATATTTCGCGTATATATCTGCACCCTTCTTTCAGAAATCGCGCAGCTGCACACACGTTCTTTCCGCACGTTTCCGCCGTTCCTTTTCTTCGTGTTTCCGTTCGCAGCGCGGCATTTCTAGAATGGCTGCAATTAAGACACCAATAGGAACATAGAACGGCGGGCGAGATACCCCACGTGTAGAGAAATTGGACGAACGAGGAGGGAATGGGGGGAGGGGGGAGGGGGTTGAGAAATCACGAGACGAGACTTTCGCCGCGTAATTTTGTTCCTGAACGAAAATAGCGCGTGCGCGCGTTTTAATTTATTTTCCATGAGTGAACCGTGATTACGTGTTAATTACATCGATGCATACCATTAAGCTCTCGGGTTTGTTGTTTTCAACAGCGAGAGCGAGGAATATTTTAGTTGTTATTGTTTACGTGACGTTGCACACGTACATACATGTATCGTTAATAGTGCTAAAACTTTCAAACGCGGAGAGGAGAGAACGAGCTATACGCGTATATGGCGCTTGTTTCCGTTAATACACGTATTACACTTTCGCACACACGCGCGCGCTTTCGAACAGCTTGAAATATAATACGAACGATTTTCCTGAATAGAGGGGAAACTGCACGATACAAGATATTTTGCCACGTAAAGAACGCGATGGCGTCGAGTTAGCGAATTTTTCAACGGGCTCGTAATGGCTCTTACTTAGATAGCCATTACTTGATACACTATAATTTAGAAAGGCACAGATGAGAAGAAGAGACGGCGGTTAAAAGAGACAGAGGCGTGCCGCTTATAGTCGCGGGCTCGATTACGCTTGCTTGCGTCGCAAGCAACGCCGAAGTGGATCCCCGCGTTTTCGATCTCTTGCTCTCCTTCTCAACACTTCGGAGTCGAGACTTCGCGGAATGATTGGAACAGAGAGACGCCCCGAGCATCGCAAACGCGAAGAGAGAGAGAGAGAGAGAGAGAGAGAGAGAGAGAGAGAGTTCTCCGAAAATAGCCTCTGATCTAACTGACGTTTCGCAAACGGTCCGGCAAAATGATTTCTATCTCTATTCTCATTTTATTTCTTTTTCGACCCACAAAGATCAACGTTAATTAGCGCTAAAATATAACTTCTAAATCTAGATTCCCGCTTCGATATAAGAATAACGCTTTTTTTGTCACGAAGAAAATAGAGAGATCTGTATATAGATGGTTTAGATAGATGAGAATCGTTTTATCCCATTATTTGCGCACCTACGTAAGTGCATCTCGTATTAAGGACTCGCAGTAGCGACACAAAGGATGGCGGCCAAGTACCAGTAAAAATTCGGACGGTAAGTGTCGGGAGAGATTATCTTCTCGATTTCGCGACGAGAGAGAGAGGATCACACCGGTTCTTTAAAGAGAGGTGCTTTTGCCCAGCTGCAAAATATCTATCGCGATAACATTTATCGCGCGAGAGGCGCGGCTCGCTCATCGACAAAGATAATGCTATAGTCGTGAGGGCTCATTGTCGCGTGGCATTTAACTCAAGAATGTAAATATATATTTTACGCTACTAACAAAAGAAGCGCACCCAGCCGGTCGCCGCCTCACAAAGAGCGCTTCGCTATTTATTCGTTCTAGTTGAGAACTAGTTGAGAACTTGGTCGTCGTCGTCGTCGTCGTCGTCGTTGAACTCGTTGAAGCCGCAAATTCGCTTTATAGAGCGGAATTTTTTTCAACCGCGCTTAACGAGCGAAGAAATCGAGATCTGATTAAGAGATGAACATAAAACTGGCACACGTCTGAAGAATATATTTGCGGTCAGTGGATTTATTCGGCCAACGAGCCGATATCTGAATATCTGATTGCACAAGTAAAATTATCCATAATTACCACAATCAGTCATTAATTAATTACCGATATAATTAAGACTGTGGAATAATTGGATGTGGATTGATCGGTCAAACAATGTAGCGAGAAATCTCTTTATTCTACCGGGGCGTAAGTATTTAACATTCGTCGCGTTCCGAATGTTTCCGCGCGTTTGTATTAGACTGAAAAATAACTTCTCTCTCTTCGCGCGACGCGATCGTTCAATTCCTAACGATAAAAATTCCGCTGCGTGACAGATTCAATTTTCTCGTGACCGACAACGTCGTCGTCGAAACGGTAATAACGGCGATTTTTTATTTTTTTTTTTTTTTTTTTTTTCACCGCGAAATTAAATTCTGACCGCGGCTGACGGGGGACGACGGTGTGTGCTTTTGTCGTACGAAATCGTGCGCGAATCTTTTTCATCGATTGCGTCGCTTCCCGCCGCGCTCTCCGGCTCCGCTCTCTCACGCGGCGCGGCTCACCAAGAGACGTCCGTCAATCTTCACGATCGATGGTTTGCATAATGCAGACGCGTTAACGCGCGCGGATAGCGAGCAGTCCCCCCGCTGTCACGTGTCCGTTAATTCCGAACGCGGAATGCAGAATCGGCTCTGGCGGAGCCGGTTGACGCGGATGGAAAATTTAAGTTCGCCACTGATGCCGCCATCCTCTTCTCGTCTTGCTCGATTTAATGCCGTCCGACCGTGTCAGCTCGTGCGGAGAGAGAGCGACACGGAGTTTTCGGTGGTTCGGCGTCGTGTCCTACGTCGGCCGAGGAAACGATTATACGGGATCGTCTTTTTGGAGAACACGCGCGCGGAGACCACACACCTCGATCCTTCTTCGCCTCACTCGCGCGCGCGCGCAACCACTCTCTCGCGGGTAAGTTATTATAAATAGAACCCGCGAGCCGGTTTTGAACATCGCCGCGGATTTTTGGACGATAAAAGAGGAACAACGAGCCGAGAGGGCGGGATATTGTCTTCGCAGAAGTGAATTCGCGTTTGCATACATTTACATTTAGTTTAGATAGCGAAACTTTGTAATTCGGGAGAAGGATGGTATTTCTGTTGAAAAATAATTTTTTCATCAAGAGGTTAAAGTTTTTATATCAAAGTAAATTTGCGTAATCTTGTTGGAATTTGTTTTTATCATACACGTATATACACAAGATGCGCTTGAAATATTTTTCAAAAAAAGTATCTGCGTTTTTTTTCAAATACGTGTAATAACAATTTGTTTGCGCGATTCTTTTTAAACACTACGATGCATCACACGAACTTATTTGTTTATCTGTTTTTATGGATCACGCGCGCTACTATCGCCAAGTGACGCCGTGCTGCCGCGTTCAACATCGTTGAATGCATTTGTTTTAATCGTTCGCTTCTGTCGGACTCGCGAGTTGTTCGATTTCAGTCTGATCCAATCGCTATCGTCAATACAGTACATATATGCGGAAATTAAAATTCACCACCAGCAGCTGCAGCGTTTTTAAATAAATATCATCGATCGGTATTTGTTGTAACAACAACAAAAAAAAAAAAAACTAATTTCCCCTTTACTCATTTATCAGGTGCGTCCGTCACAAACATTTCGCGATGTACGTATATAACTTCGTCCCCAATTATCACAGTGTGATAAAAAAAAACTTTTAAATCACTTTTCGAAATCACTTCTCTCTGTTTTGTAAAAACAAACCCTCTTTGTGAAATTTTTTCACAAATAAATAAATTTACAAACAAATCGAGACGCACGCAACAAAAATTCACATGTATAAAAACCTTTGCGCCGTGATAAACCTCCGCTTTGTCATTGTCGTTTCACCTTCAGTTAACCAGCTGGTTGTTGTGCGAGCCGGTTGTTAGCGATAAAGAGGTGCTTCAGCGCCACGCAGGTTGTAAATCTCGCGAAAGCGGCTATGACTATTATAACGACGGGCGTACAGACACGTATTGAGAATACGGAAACGTTATATCGCGCACTCGACTAATGACAAACGTAAGGTCGCGATTATTAGCATCGTGAATCAGCGACGGTCCAAGCATATCACGTGTAACGCACATCCTCATTTACGTCCCTCATTATCAGAGAAAGACTGTTATAATCACATTTTTCCGTATCGTAATAATGCAGTTTGTTGTGCCACTTTATTGCAAGCTGTATCTTATTTCGTCGCAGTAAATGTCTCGTATAACGGACAATCATCCTCCGTCGGTGCAAACGTAATGTCCCCGAATTGTTGCCTTTTTCGTCGCTTTTCTCTTTCCCCGGCGCGTTGAAATATATGTTGAGCGTGCTGATTCTGCAGGACTGTTTCACACAGCGATTCCTAATCTGCAATTTTGAGAAGAATACACCCACCCCGTATATAACTGTACGTATTCCTCGGCGTAGCGTCGAAAAGGAGCGCCACTCTTAGTCGAGCGTTTAAACGGTCCACGCAATTAGGGAAGGCGCTTCGCGCTTCATGTTTTATTCATGCTGGCCTCGACACAGGACTTTCTCTCTCTCCCTCTCTCTCTTTCTCTCTCTCTCTCTTGCACTCTCATTCCTTGCCTTGCTTTCGACCTCTCGAAGATTAAAACTGTAGCACAAGACGAGGGCACAGCTTGAACGTATAAATGATCCCGCGTATTCCCTCGTCCGACCCGTATCACCTGCGAGAGATGATACGTGGTCACTTGGAATCTCCGATTTCCCGTCTATGTAAATTCGACGTTCGGGAACCGGACTTTGGAAATCTCGATAAGCTTCCGGATTTTCGACGATTTCGTGAGTCGGAAAGCCCCCATTCTCACGTTCGACTCGGGGCGACGATATTTATTACGTTCTCAGACCCACGCGTTAATAACAAATAATATCTCCTTTAATCTTCGATTATATCCGTTGCGACATTATTGTAGCAATACCAACAGATGCAATTAACAATATAATACAATGTAACGAAATATACGAACAAATAATATAATGCACGTTTTTTTTTTTTTTTTTATCGTGATCTTTCTTTAAAATAAATATACCAGTCTACGAACATTATCGAGAGCTTACGAACACGCGTTTACTCTCAAAGCAAGAAGGAATTCGAAAAATATCCTTTTACTCTACTGCCAAATCTTTTAAGCTTCATTAAAATGCAATTCGAATTTACGTTGTGAGTGCAGTCCGTGTGGCGTCAGCAAAATAACATTCAAGAGAAAGAGAGAGAGAGAGTGTGTGTGTGTGTGTGTGTGTGCACGAAATCTCGGATTTCTCGTGCACGTAAACGCGATAATATCGGAATTCGAGAATTTCGATGGCCGACTGCGCGTTGGTTGATCTTTGGATAACGAAGATAAACGGTGCTGGCGAGAAACTAACTCGATACTTTCACATCTAATTAGATTGTTACTTTTATGAGCTGAAGTGGAGCCGAACTGGAAATATATTGCGTTTGAGAAATTTGGTGAAATTTCAAATTAATGGCTAAACAGATTGCTCGGAATGTATATAGATTGTTTGAGAGTTTATATATCTTATATATATATATATTAATTACTTAATCAAATCTCATAAGTTTTTTTTAAATTTTTTTACATTTTAAATAAAAATACATTGATACAAAAACTTGATTATATCAAGATAATTAATGTATTATTAGAAGATGAAATATATATATATATATGTCGAAGCATACTGATGCGATTTCAAAGGAACTAACATGACAATTAATTAATTCGATACTCAATTTTGTGTTTATAGATTGAAATCGGAAAATCTCGGCGGCGCTTGGTGTCCTAAGAACCAAATCACTAAGGAAGCTCGAGAGTGGCTGGAGATCGACCTTCATACGGTCCACTTGATCACGGCCACCGCTACCCAAGGCCGGTTCGGAAACGGCGTGGGTGTTGAATTCGCAGAAGCGTATATGCTGGAGTACTGGAGGCCACGACTGGGCAAATGGGTTCGATATAGAGACATCAAAGGAGAGGAGGTGAGCGCCTTTAACTTAATTAAAGATTTCTCTATCGTAGCGCCCGTTAGATTACGGATACTAAGTGTGGAATGCTGACGCTAAAGTTGTGCGGCGTTTTCCGACCGAGTTACTAAATCGGACTGATTAAATTCTCTATTATCTATCTCTCTATTAACCTACCTAAGTGATTTAATCTAATATTAAAGCGTGCGTAAATAAACAATTAGAAAACTCATCACGTGCTTTATTTGTTTACATGTTTTTTACTCTTCGAATTGATGCGCGTTAACTTAAATTATATATCTGTCTTTCGCTTGTATCTTCCGTCACATACAGGAAAGAAATATAGAAAACACTATCAATGAGAATTTATACATCAGAATCAAAAAAATGTTGTAACAATTTTGCACTTTGCATTCTGAACATCAATCGCGCAACATCAAGACGGTAAATCGCAATCCGAGAAATCAACGCGGCTCTTTAGAACTGACATAACGTCAGATCGACGCATGCGGGCCACTTCGACAAAAACATTTGCCGCTATCGTGATTTATGACTCGCGGTCGGCGCCGATTCGCGCGTCTATCGGCGCCAGTGTTGATGCTGCGGCTGCCGCGCGATTGCCGGTCGAAATAGGCCCCGATCCCGGTCATTGGGCATTGACCCTAAATAATCGCGCCATCGCTCCTCTGACGGAGGTGTCGAGATCGTTATTCCGGTGGCAAGTGGGCATCCATCCCACTGTTCTGTTTGAGTGTAGTTTAGGGCGCAACGCGCGAATGCCGCTGAACCATCAGACGAGCTGAAGCGCGACTTCAAAGTGTTCCCTTGACGATCAAGAATCGATTGCGGGACGCGGGATTATCCTTGCTCGAAACGTAAGCCGCTTATCGCGAATCCGTAAGCTAATTTCGTATCCCGTCAGTGCGCGCCACTTTGTCGAAACCCGCACTGCCGGCATGCCTCGAGTCTTCCGCTTGTCTGCTCGCGACCGAATCTGCGAGCAAGCTTCTCTCTCTCTCTCTCTCTCTCGCTCTCTCTTGCATGCGCGCACGCGACGGGGTACAGCCTATGTTGAAGTATTAGCGGGAGCAGCTGCGGCGAGCGGAACGAGTTCGTGATGGACGCCGTAAAGTTAGGATACTCGGGGTATTATCTGTAGCGTATGCATTAACGGCAGTGTATTTCGTTCGTATCTAACGCGGCGAGAACGAACTGCGATCGATGCCGGCGCATTGCTGCATTTAGGAGCATTTTCCAGATTGGACCTCTCATAAAATATAAAGACTTTCCGAGCGCTTAACTACGGTATTTCGTGACCCGATAACCACTTCTTGGTTTCACCCAGAAACGATTTATCTCGCCGAAATAGTGCTTTACCGCGAAAATTCCTCTCTTCCCTATTCTTCCGTCACCGACAGAACTTGTTTTTCTTTATCAAATATAGATAAAACCACGTTTTCCGGAAAAAGCGTGTTCTACTATTAACGAACGTTCGTGAAAAAGCGAACATTCGTTCAAACAATCAGCTAGGAGAGATCGCTCCAAGTGGCCTCTTCTATCCACGCGGTGGCAACTGCAAACATCGAATGGGGCCCGGTACACCGTTTACCTTTGAGGGAGCCGCACACGAGCATATTGCCAGAGGCGACGAGATACGTTCCCGATGAATTCAGAGCCAGGTCCATACCGTCGGCCAATGTTTATGGACCACGTCGACGTTGCTATTACGACACTTTAAGCCTCGTCCGCCGATGCGTTCCCTCGGGCACGATTTCGTGCGGAGAGAGACGACGACGACGCATCTCTCCCTTCCCGCTCATTAATACAGCGACGTTTCTCACATCTCGGTGCTAAGAATACACGCGATACACGCGCGCGCGCGCGCGCACTGAAAGAGAGGCGAGATGAAAAAGGCTCGCCTAACCGCTAGGCAAATTGGCTATTCGATCGGTCGTCTCTATACGCGTCCGCCCATGTTCGGATACGATCTTATTAATATTGATGGCCCATTCGCGCCGGCGCTAATGCGCCGGGGGACCGCGCGGCTTCGTCGTTCCCTGCTCTTCTCCCATCGTCAGCGAGAAGATTCAGTTCGTGTGTCGCGCGATTAACTTCATGATTATTCAGTGCTTTATTATGATTAACCCTTGCCTCGGCTTTCTACCTGGAAAGTTGGGGTGCTTCACCCCCTTGGAAAAACGAGGAGTCGAATCGAAGTTTGATGATTATTTAATTTTGCGCGCATGAAGTGCGCCGCGTCCAAGTTAAAATTACGCTTTGAGAGTGATGCTTGAACTGAGGTTAACGTAATATTTAATTTAGTTTTAATTGTGAGAAGTTGTTGTATTATATATATTTTGTCACGTTCGAAGCTGTTTTAAAGTAAATTCACATTGGTTCGGCTTTGTGTCGTGTAAAAAATTATTTTTATCAAACTTATAAGACAGTTGAAACAGACTCTTTAAAAGTAAATGAAATTCGAAACTCGAAATCGACTTCAATGCTGTGGTTTACGACCATTAGACGTAAATCAAACTCGAAATTGGAAAAAAAAACAACTCACTTAATACTAAGGACGTTCGATCATTTATTCTGATTATTTTCAGCCAATCTAGTAAACAAATTTCTTTTGAAAATTTCTTTTTCAAATTTATAGGATTTTATACACGTAGTAATTTCGTTTTGGTTCGAAGTTGAGCCAAATGGAAGGGAAAACGTGACTTAAACGCATGATTAATGATGATGCAATTAGACAAGCGCTAACATTGACACAAATCTAAAATTCTATGACGGAATACAATTTCTCGAGTAACATGTCCCAGCTCATCACTATTCATTGCCTAATTATTAACCAAATCGTATTTTAACTCTTTTGGAGTGTGTCCGCGCAAATGAGTTGTACGCATTTATAAAAGTGTCGTGATGACGTAGTTATTACGTAGGCGAAAGAACGACGACGACGACGACGACGACGATGGGACGACATTTCGGTATCGTATTGATTTGTCTCTCCCGGGACCAACTATCCGTTATCGATCGAACGTGTCACTACATCTGGCGTCCGATTACTATCTTGTTAATATTGATAGCCAGCTTGCGCCGGCGCTAATACGCCAGAGGATTGCGTCTTCGTTGCACACATTGAAGACGATGTCTACCGTTATCAGCCGCATAATTTCATGCAAACGCTGTGCACAAGTCCCTTTGATCGATACGATTATAAACCGTTTTGTCACCAAGCTCGATACTGTGACCTCGATTTGTTTTCCTTGTCACAGACAAAAACATAAATTTGAAATGTACCGCATAAGAAACATATTCATGCTAAATATAAAAAACTAAATAAATAACGTAAATTTGAAATATACCGCATAAAAAACATATTCATGCTAAATATAAAAAACAAATAGTTATTATTAGACGGGATAATATAAGAGCACACGCTTTTGCGCACTTTCTCTCTCACTTTTTCTCTCTCATATACATAAGATTTATATTTATAAATTTTATTATTTATTTTAAGAAATTTGAAAAAAAAAATCCTCTTTTTCCGAGGATAAACATAAAGTGGTCATGTAGAGAAATCCGATTAATTATTGTGCGAGGAAATGAGATTAGCTTGGCAGAGACGCTCGCAGAAGAGAGCGAAATTTTTGCTTCCGCAGCAAATATACCCGAGCAAATATTCTCTTTTCCCCGCGTCTTACGCCGCAGTACAGGAAGTTTTTCCAAGCTTTCGCAAAGATATCCCCGGATAGCGAAGAGAGAGGAAGGGAGAAAGAAAGAGAGAGAGAGAGAGAGAGAGAGAGAGAGAAAGAGAAAGAACATTCTATGAAGATTCGTGCACTGAGGCTGACTGATAAGAAAGCGAGGAGGAAAATCTTCACTGGTTTCGTGAACAACAACAGAGAGAGAGAAAACGTTAATATATTTTGCGTATTTGCGCGCGCACGTGCAGACTGGCGTAAAATGTCGCAAACAAGACCGCGTAATAACTAATAATAATTGTCACAAGAAAAGGAGAACGAAAGACGGGGAGGTACGTAGCTTCAAAAGGCCGCCAGAGGTAATTAAAGCCCGAGGCACGACTCATCTTTCGTTCTTTCTCTTGCTCTCTTTCTTCCTCTCTCGTTTCCGTCTTTCATCCTCTCGCTACGCTATCGCGCGAAGAAAGAGAAAACACCTCGTAACTCCTTCTGCAACGGGAGCAAGTGCGCTCGTCTCAATAATAAATACTCCACGTCAAAAACTGACCCCACTTCTCATTAGCGTACACCAGCAGCACGAGCGCGGCGGCGTGCCTCCATCGACCGTGCTCCATCGACGAGCGGGAGATTAAATAGATTTTCTTGGAATCTCCCGACGCGCAGTAAATTCGCCCAAGTGCAGCTTGCGCAGACGGCAGCTTGCAGGAAATGGTACATCCTGCATGAGAGAAGCTCGAAACGATAATATTTTCTCGAGTTCCGGGTTCCGAACGTTGTAGTGCCACGCGTTCTATATCAAAGCGCCCGTAATTAACACATTTACATAAAATGTAGTAAAAAAAAAAAAAAAAAAAAAATTTCTCAAAATAATAAAATTCTATTTTTATGCAAAGAAAAACCGGACATAGTCGATGCTCGTAGCAATAATTTAAATTTCGAAAAAAAATGCGTTCTCATTATAATTATGCAACTTTTAATGGTGTAGAGAGATTCAGGTGAATAACATTACATATTATTTCTCTCTTGTCATTAGTTTTTTTTTTTTTTTTGTTTTAAATATAGAAGAAATGTGTTGTGAACTTCATTCAAATGGAAAATAATTATAGGAAAACGCATAAAGAGAGACACACTACTGTAACTATAATAACAAAAAGTATAAATAGAACGTTTTCTTTTTTTTTATAAATGTTTCCAAGTAAATGTGTGTATTACAAAACGCATCGTTTCTAATGAGATAATTATCTTTTCTACGTTGTGTACGCGCGCGGGAGCGCGCGTTTTTTAAGCCTGCCGTGCTTATCTTAATTT